CGAGCGGCCGCAGCCAGGGAGCATTCGCTCTGTGTCCGGGCACCGCTGAGAAGTTGACTAAACAACGTCTGGTATCCAGGCAGGTCCCAGGGGCCGTTCACAAGGCCGGCGTTTGGCCGAGTTGCCACGCTCGCCTGGCCTTGGGGTTAAGCAAGCTTTTCACGTTCCTCGAAGAGCGGAGCGCTGGCTCTCGGCTCCAGCGCCAGCAGTCCTGCCTTCTGGGCGGACTGAACAGCAGCGCAGGAGCTAAGGAGCGGCCGCACGCCCCGGCACTGGGAACAGCGTTTCGGGGCTTTTCTGAACCTGCTCCCTCCAGGACGAGACAGGAAACAGTAATAGGATCGAATGCCTGAGGATTCGTCTCGCTTACTTTTTCTTCCTCATTCAAAGGAACTTAGATTTTTGCAAATGCAAAAATAAAAAAATATATGTTAGAGAGTTGAGATGAGAGAGTTAGGGAGAAGTGAAAAGGGTAAGGCCGGGAAAAAGGACATAATGCTCATTTGCCCCCACGGGAGACGCTGGACCCAGCAGGTCACGGGGCCAGCAGGACACCGGGGAGGGCAGAACCCCAGGCCCACGGCGGGGGAAGGAAGATAGCCCTATGGCTTTTTAAAGGAACACTCTCAGCGGCAAAAAGACTGCTCCTAACCAATCACTTAGAGAGTTGAGATGAGAGAGTTAGGGAGAAGTAAAAAGGGTAAGGCCGGGAAAAAGGACATAATGCTCGTTTGCCCCCACGGGAGACGCTGGACCCAGCAGGTCACGGGGCCAGCAGGGCACCGGGGAGGGCAGAACCCCAGGCCCACGGTGGGGGAAGGAAGACAGCCCTATGGCTTTTTAAAGGCACACTCTCAGCGGCAAAAAGACTGCTCCTAACCAATCAGATTCTGAGCCGCCTTCCTCGGTTGCCACAGGGCCGGGGAGCAAACCATTGGGCACTCGGGCCTCTGGGTTCCCAGCCGGTCACCAGAAAGCAGAGCTGTGCGGTGTGCGCTGTGAGGGGAGGTTTCCATGGGACCCGGAAAGCACTTCAAGGACACTCTTGACAGGAGAGCAAGTAAACACTGAGAGGGTTAAACATTAAATTCCGAGCAGCGTCAGGAGTTCCGTTCCCCTCCAGCCTCTGAAACCTAAACTCCGCCGGCGCAGAAGACTGCCTCCCTCCCTGTGCCCTGAGCCTGCAGCTCCCCATGGGACTCCCCGCACATCTCCACTCCTGAGCTCCTCCCGCCTGGACTCCTTCCCTCTGCTCTCTGCTTGTCACACGGCCCCTCCTCCAGGAAGTCTTCCTGCCCTGCCCAGGCAGAACTCATGACCTGCTCTGCACTCTGTGTACAGCATGCTCACCTCGCTCTCACCCTGGAACAGACCTGGTTCTGGACGCTTTCCCCCCTCCCTGCCCCCACATGGGCTCGGGGCTCTGGAGCAGAGACAGCCAATTCATCTCTGGGACCCCGGGACCAGCAAGGTGGGCATCAGACAACGAAAGCTGGAGGATGAACCGCTGGTCAGGCAGCCTGCTCAGAGGAAGGCACAAACGCCTCGGTCTATTGGGAGGGTCAGGAATTGGCCCTCTGGTTTCCTGCACCGAGCTGTGAAGGAAGGCCATTCGCCGCCTCTGTGGACTCAGAGGCTCTGACTCCTCAAGGTGTTTTGTCCCTTGAAGGCCCTCCTGTAACCACCATAAGAGGGAGGACAGGAAGATGGAGGGCCAGACCACAAAGAGCAATTAGTGGGACCCCAGGCCATTCTCAAAGGTCCCAGTGGTATTCACTGCAGGGTCCTCCCGGACCCCCAGCTGGGCTCCAAGAAGTGGGGTCTACAGTTACGAGGTGCGGACAGACGCTTCCCCGGGGACGGACATCCCATTGAGAAAGCTGGACCACGCACCGTCCGAGAGGAAATCCAGAGAGCCGACCCGAGGTTCAAAACAGGAAAGGAGAGTGAGAATTCGGGGCCAAGAGGGGCAGACACTGAGCAGAGACCTTAAAAGCAGTTTAAATCAGTGGTCACCAACCGGTGATTTGTGGCCCACTGGTGGTCCGTGAGGTCCGAAAGGCTGGTGACCGCTGATCTAAAGTGTACAAAGGGTTGTTCACGTTCACGGGGCTGCCCTCCAACCCCCGGGCAGAAGTAAACAGCATCCTCCTGTCCGGTGGGTGAGGGGGATGCGGGAGACACACCGGAAAACCTTATAAGCGTATGCGTTGCGACATCTCGCTCTTTCAGACAGAGGAAGGGGGCAATGCTTGACGGCTCAGGCATTCACTGTCACTGTGTGTGACGGCGGAGGGGCGGACCAGGAGCTCTGCTGGGATCTGTCCCGCCCCTGGCACCGAACTCCACTGTGGTGCAT